TTGGTAGCCTGAGGATAACACCTATTCTAATGCCATGACTAATTCTACCAATTTATCCACTAACTCACTAATAATTAATTAATTTATCCTATTAATTATTTTACTCGTATCATATTTAAACCATTAAAAAAAATTCTGAAATTATTTAAACATAATCAAACATTCCTTCTTAAATCCACCACAAGTTAAAGTTTAACCTAAAAATAACAAGTAAAAACAACAATAAAAATTTGAATTTCACAATAAATTATGTATATTTTAACAATACAAGAAATAATTTATCTACAAATTAATTGATAATTTACTAGATCTAAATTCCATTAATCCACCATTAATAAAAAATTAACAAAATTATATTAATAATTTAAATCCTATTAACTACAATAATAATTGAAAGAGTGAAAAAAATTACCTCCATAAGTATCCTGCTGAAATTAATTAAAATTACCTACATTAATTAAATATAAATTAGCAAAATACAAATTAAACAATAATAAATAATAATTAACAAAAAAGAGAGAGAGAGAGAGAGAAAAAGAACTCACGTTGGTTGGGAAGAAGGGAGCAAAGGGAACAAATGTGGGTGAATTACAATTGTTTAAGGGATATATATATATATATATATATATATATATATATATATATATATATATATATATATATATATATATATATATATATATATATATATATATATATATATATATATATATATATATATATATATATATATATATATATATATATCCTTATATGCACATATATTGAACGCATTACTCCAAACTCTTTTACTCTCTGCCACATTCTGCTCAAGGACTTGCACTAAAGAAACACTCGAAGTGAGTATTACATAAACATGTTAATGCACTTTTTTGATCTATCACTGTTTAATCTTATTTTTTCCAATTGTTCATTTCTTGCATAATTGCATATTTTTTCGATGGTTAATTTAATATATATAGTTCTTTACAAATGGTATAGATCATACCACTATATTATCACTCTTTACGGCATAATGACACTATTATGATTTATTTTTAAGATACAGTTCTCTTCATAATCGAAAGTTTATTGTAATGTCATTGTTTGCATAATTTGTATATGCACATATTTTTTTATCATTTATAATATACAAGTACGATTCATATATGTGTAGTAATTATTTTTTTTGTATCTATTTAATTCTTGCGGTTTTGTTGTAATTTTATCAAATTTACATTGCCAAATGTTTAATTCTTGGGGTTTTGTTGTAATTTCTTTCGCGTTTTTTTAAATTACAAACTTCTTGATCTACCAAATCCGCTTTTTTAAATTCCGATGAATTAATAATAGATTTCAACTTTTCCATTTACCATTACAAAAGGTCATATTCTTTACATATTATTTCCATAAATATGCATTGTATATATTTAAAATCATGAAAATCAAGATAATTTACCGATT